CGAAAGGAATGGCTTGAAAATGAGTTTGCTGTGATGCCGGATTTGATGAGGACTGCTTTGAGGTGTTTTTAGAACCAGATTCTCGTGGCTGGACGTTTGGAGTCGAAAAGTGGATCGAGAGGGGATTTGAGTGTAGAATGTTTATACTGAATGTATTTTAGCAGAAAATGGTACGGTTGGATGGGAGTTGGCAGATTGAAAATGTAAATAAATATTTTGTTTAAAAAAAAGATATAGTTTCATTATTTATCTGTAAATCTGAAAATGTAGGGTGAATATCAGGGTCGAAATTAGATGTGATGGTCAATTCAGAGCGGCGGAAAAAACAGAAAAAAATATTAGTATTTGGGATCATGGGTGCTCAAGCCTTCATGAAAAATGAAAGCAGAGTCTCACATGAAAAATGAAAAACTGTACAGCACGACAGGTCAACAGCTAATTAGTAACATCATCAAGAGAAGGCAGCACCAGTTCAACAAAAACATACTTTTTCTGCAATTGTACTTTATGAATGTAGTAAAAAGTACATTTCTGCAATTTTCCCCAATTTAAGGATCCTATAAACAGTTCCTCAAAAAATGCATAGAATTCACTGTGCACATTTTAGCCCCAATCAAGGCAATTACATCAAATGAAGCACCACAGAACAAAGACCAATAGATGGTGTTCCGCCGTTCGCTTGGTACCGTATGAACTCATTATGTAATGCAACGTCCCTGATGTGACTTCTGGCGTTTGCAGTTCAAGCTTCTGCAAGGGAAAATCAAATCAATCCCCCATTGACTCTGTCAGCATGTGATGGAAAGCTAATTAAAGGCCCCGAGGGATGGCTGGTCATTTTATGAAGCATGTAGTGTGATCGGCGAGATGATCCAGTTGTGCACTGGCTGAGAGGTTCGGACAGGGACAAATCAGGATAACAAAATCACGTGCACATGCTGATTGGTGGATCCCGGCTTGTCACGTTCCCTCCTGTTGTTCCAACATAAACCCATGTTTTGTTTTGTTTTGAATCAATTGCTATTGGATTTAAAGGGTAGATGCACAATATTGTGCAAATATGCTTTTAATGAGATTTGTGGCACATAAAACCAGAAAAAAATACCACGCTAAACAAATCACTGCAGTATTGATGGATTGAGTTTAGGAGGGGATGGGGTGGTGTGGGGGGGCCTGATGCAATCGAGCGCAAGGTCTTTCATTTGACATTGAGTGCTCGCAAACGTAAACAACATGGAAAGCTTTGGCCTAAACTCAAAGGGGAAAACAAAGAAAAATGGTAAATTAGAGTTGATACATTCCACATCTATCGTTTTGTGCTATAGGTGCTGGGTCAGACAAAAAGATCACCTTTTGGAAATTCCATACGACAGACATGCACAATAAATTATGGGCTTTCCTATTATAACACTTAAGATTAACGGTTAAATAGGATGAAGATGCATGCTTACTAAAGTTTGAGACCCATTTTGTTGTTCGAGTCAACCCGGTAGCTCAGCTAAAATGAGTGCAATTGCATGAATACGGCTCACTAGAGAGCAATATCATGATATTTTGTGTGGCAGAACATTGTATTGACTGACTGCATGAGGGACATTCGGTTGGTTGGCAACTTTTTATGTGTGTGGGGGTGCTGTTTTCAGCAATTGCTTGAAAAGATCAGCCATGGGGCATTGTCCTGTCAGTTTCTGATCAATTTCTAAATCCCGTGAACTCGCTGCATGAAACAACTGTGGGGAACATTCACTGTAGCCGACATTATGCGGAGAGACTGGCTGTGTTTTAATGTGCAAACTCCATGGCTTTAAAATGAAGGAATGATTTTCCTCGTTGGGGAAAACATGCTTGTTTATATACCAAGGAAACTAGACAGCCAATCCCACTGAAATGTAAGTGCATTTTAGGTTGGTTTTTGCTTTGATTCGCTTAGTTATGTCATTTTGTTTGTGCCTGTGAACTATCACTTTGTGCTAAATTAAACATTGCATGTGCATGTCTTCTAGACTTTTAGTGATTTACGTCAAACATCCTTACTTTGTATGTCGGATCCATGCAAAAAGTCTCATGCATGACGGCTATGCCGTTTTCATGCAGAAAAATAAAGAATAGACCAACTTGAACAATAGGCTAACCTCATATTTGTTTTGTCTTAAACTAAGCACGAACATGTTGCGGTGAAGATGGGGGACTGGAACTTGTTGGGGAGCATTTTAGAGGAGGTTCACATTCACTCCACCATCGTGGGTAAAATCTGGCTGACCATCCTGTTCATATTCCGGATGTTGGTTCTCGGCGTGGCGGCCGAGGACGTCTGGGTGGACGAGCAAAGCGAATTCATCTGCAACACGGATCAGCCGGGATGCAAGAACGTCTGCTACGACCAGGCTTTCCCGATATCGCTAATTCGCTTTTGGGTACTGCAGATCATTTTCGTTTCCTCGCCTTCGCTGGTGTACATGGGACATGCTCTGTACCGGTTGAGGGCTTTGGAGAAAGAACGACACAGGAGGAAAATCCAGCTGAGAGCCGAGCTGGAAGAGATGGCACCCCTCTTGGAGGAGCACAAGAAGTTGGAGAAGGAACTGAGGAAGCTAGAAGAGCAGAAGAAAATAAAGAAGGCTCCTCTGAGGGGCTCCTTGCTACGCACATATATTATTCATATCCTTACCAGATCAGTGGTGGAAGTGGCGTTCATTGTGGGGCAGTATATCTTATATGGCATAGGACTGGATCCTTTGTACAAGTGCGAGAGGGTGCCTTGCCCGAACAGCGTGGACTGTTACGTCTCCAGGCCGACGGAGAAGACTATCTTCATGGTTTTCATGATTGTCATTGCAGGGGGTTCGTTGTTCCTGAACCTTTTGGAAATATCCCACCTGGGGGTGAAAAAAATTAAACAGACTCTAAGCGGTCTCCAGTTCGCCGAGGACGACAGTCTTTACAAACCCAAGCATTCGACTATTCAGCAACTGTGTGTGATGACGGACTATTCGCCTCACAAAAACCCGCAGTTGAAAACGTTTATCCCGCACGGGCAAACGGACCCACCGCCGTTCTTAAACAGCACTTGCGTCGGTTCGAGCAGCGACGTAATGCGGCACAACAGTTTCGCCGCGGCCACTCTCCCGGTGTCCTGCATAACCCAACAGCCCCGCCAAATGCGCCAGCCCAGCCAGGGAATGATCCATGAACTGCACTCCCAGGCATCCATGGAGATGCTGGAGGACCGGGAAAACCGAAACCACCATCTAGAGAGCTGTAACGGCTCAGAGATGGACGTTAGGCCTTTTAACTTGGGTCATACCGAAATACCAGCCTGCCTTCGAAACGCTCTGCACAGGCCCAGCCGCTTGCCGGACCTGGGGGGTGATACTTTAGAGTCCTCCGAGAGTGACTTTTGTCCACCAAACAGAAAAGCCAGTTTCATGGCACGTATGCCCTCGGACAGCATGTCCGGCAGTCCGTCCTGTCCTTCCACTAGAAGTTCGGAGTCCGAGCTGGGCTCCCTCAATGACCTGCCCATGAACCCACCACCAGGGGGTGGACGACGGATGTCTATGGCAAGTAGACGCAAATGACACACTGCTGGTCATATAAAAGCTTTCTTATCCAAAATGACTTTTTGCATAAACATGTATCCCATTTAAGTATTTATTTTGTAACAGTTAAATGAATTGATTTTGTGGTTCTTAACCAAAAAACTGTTAAAACTATTAAGAAATTGTGTAAAAACTGCCAGCTACATTGAAGAAATTTTACATTATTATTATTATACATTATTACTTTTCAAATGTGTGCCTAATTTGTTTACTTTTTTTACAGAGTGTATTCTTGGATATCTCTTCCATCATGAAAAAGTGAGAAGGACAACAGGAATGTAACAGGCCGTTCATGAGCAGAAATGAATGGAGATATCAGCGACAAATGGTTTAACTCTGATCTGCTCTGCTTGGAAAGCACTGGTTTAACACAGCTTTATTGTGGTATAAACAGTGCTGTGTTTTTTTTTTATTGTAAGCACCTTAATTTACCAGTAAAGCATGGTGTAATTATTTTCCATGTCTAATTATGGAAGCCAAAAGACATCTGTGCATGTTTCTAAAAGCTTCAGACCTTCAGACAGCTGGAAAAAAAAGCTTACATCCATAAAATGTGATGCAAGCTGATGGATTCTCTACGAAGAAAATAAAAGTTTTCTTATTTCCAAAAGTGTTCGTGTTTGAATTCAGGGTGAATACAGATCATGCAAATTGTATGCTCCTCTGAGCAAATGATGCAACACGCGTTCAATCTGCATAAAACATGCTTGGCAATTTATTTAATATCCTAGTAGACAAATTCAATGTGGACACATTCAAGAATGTAACAAATACAGATTATGAACATTGAGGTCACAACTTTTCAAGATTTGATTAACAAGGGAAAGCAAAAAAAAAAATCATTTTCAAAGAATCCCACAAAAACTGTAACTATAAACAGAATATGTACAATACATACAAAATATACATAAAAAAAATGATTGTAAAACATCTTTTAAAAATGTTGTAAACCAGTTCTGTGAGTCGAGAGGTATATCGATTTTATAGGTAGATCTGTGAATGTTCAAACTCTCCCTACTGCATGTAAACTAATAATGAATATTCATATTTGCCCTTATCACAACTATTCAACTGTGATGCATCATAAAACAAGGCCATTATAAAATGCTTTATCCAAATTCAAAGGTCATGATAGATATTATATATATATATATATGAAGAGTTCAGATGCAAAAGCCTCTAAGTGCCATTTGAAATTTTCTTCTAGAATGATCATTTTTATCAAGCTTGTATATTTAAGTTCAGTGATTTCACTTAAATGGCAATGATAATTACCTATTAATTGTTATTTAAGTGAAATTACTGAACTTAAATATACAAGTTTGATAAAAATCATCATTAAAGAAGAACATTTCAAATGGCATTTAGAGGCTTTTGCATCTGAACTCTTCATATATATATATATATAATTTAAAACAAAATCTGAATATGCACAGAATTTTTAAAAATTTAATCTGGTAATTTGTAAACATTATGAAGCAATATTTGAAATCTTGTTAGTCAATTATTTGAGCGTCATCGTTTATGGTACAAAAATGAACCCACATGACAATATGAGATTTTTTTAAGGGTCAAATCTATTTGATTTTTTCCCAATACAGACTTAAGCTAACATGTGACATGTTCGATCAGAATCCCAAAACTTTTGGTACAAACAAAATACTTAAAAAAAATCTGCTTTAATCACATATTCATGCAGTTCACAATAATTTGAAGTAAATAGACTTAATTAAAACTCACCTTTGAACTATAACATTGTGACGATATAGATGCAAGTCACTTAAAGCAACAACAATGTAACGAAGCAATGAGATTTTTCCAACTGTTGTCACCTTAAGGCTTGAACTTTCACCTCATGTTATTAAATCAAACGTGTAAAAGTGTTATAATTACACTGATTTAAAGGAGGGACTGTATGGGAATCTTTTAACGGCGAAAACATTCAATAATTGAACCCCGGGAGTGGAGTGTGGTTAAGTGTACAAGTTTAACATTTAAAAAATAATAAAAGGTCCACCCTACTAAAAATATCTAACCAAAACATAAGAGAGAAAAATAATATTGATTTGCTTTGATATCTGACAACAGTCAAACGATAATGTGCCTAACACCCTGAAGGAATTAAAACAGATCAGAGAGATCAAAATGTGAGCTGCCAAAATGTACAAGGTCAGAATGATTCATTTACGTTTTATGTACACTTGGAGAGTTTTATACACAACAGACATCCCTGATCAAACATATCAACAGTCTAGAAAACTGAGCTTCGAAAAAATCTGTAGAAAAAATCTGGACCGTATCAAATGGTGCCTCATCACAAAATATTTGAGGGGACAATCATATATAGGCAGCTAATCGTCAATCCTGACTGGATTGCTTCATGATCTATTCTGAAATTTTGCAGAGAAAGAAAGATCCGATGTTCATTTCTCAGTGCTGAAAAACAGATTGATTGCAAATTCAGGCGAGAAGCTGTTTAGTTTCTCTGTTATTCAATTTAGTTTTTTCTTTATGCACATTAGGAATGCTTGAACGCACAATAGGTACAAGACAAACGTCAAACACTCGATATTATATTTGCATATTCTGCTTGATTTGAAGTTGCCTTGCCACCAAAACTAAGTTTGAAATTCCTGAGATAAATCTGAGAACTATATATATATATATATATATGAATGAAACGAAAGTAATAATCAAAAAAGAAATTATTATTTTAGCATCCTATACAGTATGTATGAGAACACATCCATGTGCACGCACAAGCAAAAACACATGAGGTGCACCATGTAAACAGAACAGTTCCCTAAAATGAAAAAAAAATTATATATATATAAAACAACATTAGCAAAACACTAAAATAAAAAAAAGTAACATTAACACGTATTGACCCAATACTCAAAATGCAGTTTACCAGACTCAGTTCCTCTCAATGAGCTCTTCTGTCGTACACTTCACAGTCATTTCTTGGCAAAAATCAAATGTCACACTTGAGCTGCCCGTCTGGGAGGGCTCCGACCTCACCTGGGGCGGCACAGCCTCTCGGTCCACTCTGAGGTGTGGGTGTGAAGGTTCAACTATGGTGTGACCGTCAGGGGACGACACCACTTTGCCATGTGAGGTGAGGGTGATGTCTATACTGGTGGGACTGGGACAGATTCTACGGTCTGTACCGGTCGAACCGGATAAAACTGGGTCTTGTTGCAGACCATACAGAGATAGAGACTGATCCGGACTCAGTTGTTCCTCCCTGCCGACCTCCTGAGACAGAAAGGAGAAGTTTTCCCACAGCTCCCCCATGCAGGTTTTCAAATGGCTGCGTTCGGTTAGGAGCTTCTGTCTCTCGCAGACCTAATGGAGGAGAAGCACACACAGTAATGAAGGTGGACAGAAAAATCTAGATTCTGCTGGTGAATCTAGTAGGGTTGTTTCTGGTGTTGCCTACCAGTTTGTGAATCTCACGCTCCAGGTTCTGGATGCAGTCCAGCTTTCTTTTCCTGCAGCGCTGAGCTGCGACTCGGTTTTTACCTCGCCGTCTCATGTCGTGGATGAAGTCTAGCTGATCCGTGGTCAGTTTGTGCATCTTTATCATCAGCTGAAAGTCGTTGCGTGGAAGCTCTGTGATCTGGTCGACTGAGAAAGGCAGTTTCACCTGCAAGTGTACAGAGCATAGTTAGATGCATTTGTTGCAATATATGCTACTTAATATACAAGCAATTATAATAAGTTCATTCGGAAAATTTCACACATCCTTTACAGAATATATGGTGCTTCACCACTAGATGACACTGTCATCTAACTTGTATGAAGTGTTTTTTTAATTTGTTTTCAGAGCACTGATATAGTAAAGGCCTCATCTGCTAAAATGAGCAAACTTATCAAATTCAAACAAAAGTTTAGGAAGAAATGATCACAGTATGAACAATATATATATGTTCAGATGCAAAAGCCTCTAAATGCCATTTGAAATTTTCTTCTTTAATGATGATTTATCATCAAACTTGTATATTTAAGTTCAGTAACTTTACTTAAATAACAATTAATATGTAATTATCATTGCCATTTAAGTGAAATTACTTAACTTAAATATACAAGCTTGATAAAAATGATCATTCTAGAAGAAAATTTCAAATGGCACTTAGAGGCTTTTTCATCTGAACTAGATGCAAAAGCCTCTAAGTGCCATTTGAAATTTACATATATACATATATATATATATATATATATATATATATATATATGTATATGAAGAGTTCAGATGCAAAAGCCTTCAAATGCCATTTGAAATTTTCTTCTTTAATGATGATTTTTATCAAACTTGTATATTTAAGTTCAGTGATTTCACTTAAATAAAAATAAATAGGTAATTATCATTGCCATTTAAGTGAAATCACTGAACTTAAATATACAAGCTTGATAAAAATTATCATTCTAGAAGAAAATTTCAAATGGCACTTAGAGGCTTTTGCATCTGAACTCTTCATATATATATATATATATATATATATATATATATATATATATAAATATATATAAAACTAATATATATATTAGTTATTAGTAAAACTCCTGAAAGATTTTCACAGAAATGCTATATGACAATAAAATTATTCAATATCAGAGCCTTTGTTTCAAAATATTTGGTCTTTTACACTTAATAAAGGATTTTGGGTACACTACCAGTTTTGGGGTCAGTAAGATTTTTTAAGGTTAAGATAACTTGATTTGATCAATTGAGAGTCAGATTTTGTCAACACAAAAGTTTTCTATTCATCAAAGAATCCTGAAAAAAAAAAAAATCAAGTTTTCGACAAAAATATTAAGTAGCGCGGCTATTTTCAGCACTGATAATAAGAAGGAATGTCAGCATATTAGAATGATTTCTGAAGGATCATGTGACACTCAAGACTGGAGTAATGATGGTGAACATGCAGCTTAACCATCACAGGAATAAATAAATACATTTTAAAATATATTAAAACAGAAAAAAACAAAAATGTAAAATATGCTATAATATCTTCAAATCATAACTTATTTAATAATATATATAAACAGTTTTGAATGTATTTTTTAATGAGCTTCATTTGACTGGCTTTAGATTGTCATGCAAATGAAGCAGCGCACAGGACACATTACGGTTCAATTAAAATTCTGTAAATAGAGCAACCCGTATTCTTGTTTCAGTGCAATGACAGATATGACACCTGACTTAAAACTCAGCTGAGGGAGTCCGTCATGTTCACCATGACGAATACTCCCTAACTCTGCTGTGACCTTGTGCCACTGCTCAGTCTGTGTAAAATGGAGGTCTATATTTAACCACTCTACTACAGAGAGCTCCGTAATAAGGCTAGAATGACAGATTAGGCTTCCAGCAGCACAGACATGTTTTCTCCTCTCCTTCTCTCTGAAGTCAGGTCGTTTCTGGGAGAAGACACTCATACTGTGAAGTAGGGCTCATCTGTTAGCCAGTGAGGTGAAGCGGCCCATCATCAGATGAGAGCCTGGGGGCCGCTGCCCCACTTCTGTCTGGGGACCTGCAGCTGGGAGCTTTGAGTGAAGGGCAGAATAAAGACGGCTATAGAAAGATTGATTCAGCAGAGATTTCTACAATATACTGGGCTGAAATTTGGCATTTTGTTTTAACCTAATTTTCCTTTTATTTGTGACTAATAAAAAAAAAATCAAATAGTAGCATGGTATTATCAGTGTTTTGGACATGTACTATTGTATTCTAACAATAGTTGAATAGTTAATTTTTGGAAATTATAATAAATAATTTCCCATTTAAAAAATCTAATAACACCCAAAAATAATGGTACTTTATTCAATGAGAACAAGAATATTTATGGTCATGTCTTTAGAATTTTCAAAGTTTTGAATACAGTGAGTAGATGGAGTTGTTATAAATGTACAGTATGTGTGATTAAATAGGCTATTCATGTAATTATTTTTATATGGGATAAAGTCAGATTGAATAATGATTACGGTAATACGTTTATAAATGACCGCAGATGTATGTTTGAAATATGGCACTGATGAAGGGTTGAACCTGAAAACATTTTGCGCACCTTGCACTTTATTTGTGGCCTTTGGAAACACTTTTTTGGATCTATACACAACGCAAGAAGTTTGTTCATTCATATGTTTGGGACTAGACTAGTGTTTGGTGCTACGCCTTTCCATTCTCCACAAAAAAGTTACAAAGATGAAGAAGAAAAAAAGAAAAAAAAATCGATCTGCAAAGTGCAGTAATTATTTATATCTGTAAAATGTAATAAAATCAAGAATCTGTGGTTTGTTGATTCTCTTTAACTGACAAAAGAAAAGAAAAAAATCCAATGTTTCCACTGATCAATTTAATTTAATTTTGTACAACACCCCAAAAGAGGTCAAATAACACTAAAAGATTATAGAATATCCAAGTTAAACCGTTTTGAAACGTCCACAATTAGCAGAAAAACTGGAAATAGGTGAGGGTAACGTGTTTTGGTATAATATTAGCATCCACCAAAGACATGAGCTGCGTCCGAAATCGAATACTTCCCTACTATATAGTATGCGAAAAACAGTACGCGAGCAGAGTAGTATTTCCGAAATCAGAATTCGAAAAACATTAGGCGAAAAGTAGCCTACCCGGATGACCTACTACTTCCGGCGAGATTCTGAAGTGCGCATATGATGGTCACTTTACTATCCCATGATGCCACGAGAGAGGAGTTGTCGTTATGTTTGAAAATGGTGGAAACCGGAGATGCGGCTGTAACGTTAGAAGATAAACACAGACACACATGCGTATCTCTATTGATTCATTCATGTTTATTTATCAATGGTAATATCACAAGCAAATAAATGTTTTTTTTCTTGCCAAAAATCAACATCTGTCATTGTTCATAGGGGTTTTGTGTGTGTTTTATGAGGTAAAATTTATTAGGTAAATAAACGTTATTTGAGAGATTCCTTAAAAGGCGTGATCTGCGAGCAGCTGACCGGCGCCTCCTCTTGGTTGTCGTCTCGGACGATGTAAAAACGCAGATGAAAACAGAAAGCAGATCTAAAAACAGCTCGAAGTTGGTGCAGTCACTGGAATCGGCTCTTTAAATTTTCGCACTGTTGTGACAGCATACGTCACGTGACAACAACATGGCGCATGTAGTGCATCCGGACTCATTCATACTACCCGTATTCATACTATATAGAACATACCTTTTTAACAGTCGTGAAGTACGTTCTTTTTTAAATATAGTACCTACTCTATAGTAGTACACAATTAAATATAGTATAGATATAAATATAGTAGTACGCGATTTCGGACGCAGCTTCAGTCTTTGCATGCAAAGATGGGTCATGGCTCACCACTTTGTGCCAAATATCAAGAGAAAATTGCCAAATTTCTCAAAGCAAGATTGCAAAGTATTTAGGTCTTTTTACCCACATTGTGAAAAGTTGTGAAAGGATTCATGGAATCCAGAGGAATCTCAGTCCGTATAGGGAAAGGCAGGAAGCCTCTGTTGAATGTGCGTGACCTCAGAATCATGCACATTACATGAGAAACCATCAAGCTGCTATGTCAAATAAAGCCACGTGCTTGGAGTACTTTGGAAAACTGTTGTCACTTGACACAGTCTGCCGCTGCATCATGAAATGCAACTCAAATCTCTATTACGCAAGGAGAAAGCTATACATCTGTTCAATGCAGCGATCCTGCCAAGTTCTCTCGGCCCGAGCTCATCTAAGATGGTCTAAAAGACAGTGGAAATGTGTGATGTGGTCAGATGAGTCCAAGTTTCAGCTTGTTTTTGGAAAAAAAAAAAACAGACTCAGTCTGTTCTCAGTCCCAAAGACGAAAGGGAGAAACCAGACTTTCATCAGCGACAAGTGCAAAGGCAAACATCTGTCATTATATGGGGATACATCAGTGTATACGGTATGTGTGTGACTTGCATTTGTTGGAAGGTAACATTGATGTGGAGATATACTGGGATTGTACAGAGACATACAGAGGACATCTTTACTACCCTGTACTACCAGCAAGAGGACATCTTTCCTGGGAAGCAAGACAATGCCATGCCCCATGCTGCACAAGCTACAACAGACACTAGACTTTCTAGACACTCTTGACTGCCTGCCTGCAGTCAAGATCTGTCTCCTATTGAAAATGTATGGCCCATCATGAAGGGAGAATCGGACAACAATGACCATAGACTGTTGAGCAGCTGTCTTAAATCAGGCAAGATTGGGCAAAAATCCCACATGCAAAACTGCAATAATTAGTATTCTCAATTGATAAACATTCAAGAAGTGTTTAATTAAATTTAATTGTTTGATGTACTGAACGGTCTAATCACATCAGTGAGATTTATGGCTCTTTCATTCTTTTTGTTTGGTCCAGACTTTCGGACTTTTCAGTTTGGTCCGAATCAAAATTACAGGTGTGAAACCTCCCCTGGACCACGGTCTGGACCAAACAGATGAAATTTGGTCCGACGAAAAGAGGTAGTCTCGGTTCGGATCAAACTGAAAAAAGGTTTGGTTCGTTCCTAGTGTGTATGGTTCAGACTTTCAGACCTTTTACAGGAAGTTCTGGTGGTTCCCAAAAAGCCGAAAAACAGAAGGTGGCAGGAAAAATGTTCACATGGGGAGAGGAGGAGACGAGGTTTTAAACTAAAGTATGGTCTGATGACTTCTTCTCCTCCTTTCCTGCCGGCGACGATAAAATGTTCCCACGATGAGGACGTTTATTTGGCAATTTGAACTAACATTGTGTATAGTTGGGTGCTGCAGGTAATTATGCCATAAAATTAACAATATAGTTGCAAAGATATGCGTCTGTTCATTCATGTTGCCAATGTTACCCGCCGAATTGACAACACTCAGACGTCAGACGCAGGTACATTTACTAAACCAATCAATGTCAAGATGGAGCCCACATAGATAATGACGACAGGACGCAAGTATGTCGCGTAAAGTTCTTTAGTGCGCTGGCATAATTGCAAGTAAATTAATCTTGTTTTATAGATTTTTTGGGAATGCAGAAACTTGGCACAATAATATAGAACTAAGTTGTGAATATATCAGCCATTTTACAGTGGCTTAGAAAGGTCATCCAATAAGATTGTAGAATCTATCAGTTTCATAATGCTGCAGTGAAATATTTGGGATATATCTGAGAATCCCATTAAAATGCAATATCTGTGTAGTCACTTGTAAACTGAAAAAAAACTCCTGAATTGGGTCATTAAAAATCAAACGAGATTTGAATGAGACAGCAAATTATCATACACAGATTCTTGAACTGGCAATGTGTCAGTGTTTTGAGGAGGAGGAACAATTATGTCATTGAGACCTGAGGAACAAGAATGGCTCAGAGCTTATTGCCATGGCAACCCTGCAGTGTTTGCCAAGTTCCTGCAGTTTTAATCTCAATTTCATGGTGAGGAATCATGTGGGAATGTTTTGTAATGATTACATTTTTCGTATGCATTCATGAAGATTTTGCTTTTTAATGGGATAAAGTATTAGATTTGCATTTGTGCCAATCAAAAGCTCAAATTTCGACAGCAAGTGCGCTAACCACTGGAACAAGGTTGCATAATTTTAAGGAATGAAAAAAAAATTGTGTTTTGTAAAACTTTGTTTTATTTTGATTAATTGTGCTACTACACTGCAAGTTGTTTCTTCTTATTGTTCATTATTTGGAATACACAGAGGGTTTCTGGCAAAAGTGACACCACTAATTTCCTCTATCTCAAAACCAATTCCAATGACCCCTGAAATATGTGCTTTGGGTTCCTGTAAGTTTATCATTATCAAGTTATCACACTAAAATTATTGTCATTTGTCTAGTTCTTGTAAGACGTTAAGTAACATTTAACTGGAAGAACATTGAATGTGCATCCATTGATCTATGGTTGAAAGATCTGTTGGAAAGAATAACCTACCGTATAAAGGGAAAACTAAAAGATTATCATAAATTGTAGGAACTTATTTTACATACAATCTACACCAGCAATATTAGATACCTCTCACTCCACTGATTGATATGTGTATATATGTTGTGCTTTTGCATTCTATAATATGTGGATATGTCTTGTCTGTCTTATGGTGTATTCACACCGAACGCGAATTTAATTACTTGCGCGAGTACATTACATACAAAGTCAATGCAAAGACGCGAATAGATGCATCATTCGCGCCGGGCGTTGCGAATGAAGCGAAGTGGGCGACGTGTTTGCCGCGAATGACTCGAGCGAATGTTCAAGCATCTAACTAGATGCGATAGACGCGTATTTGACGCTCTATTCTCGTTCGGTGTGAACACACCATTAGCCTTTGTATAATAACTTCTTTACCTGTGTAATAGATTTTTTGGGTGGGGAGAGTAGTTAAAATATACAATTTATTTTCTTTGGATATTTGCTTGTTAGCCTCCAAGTTTTCAAATAAAAATATGTTATATATATAAAAAAGTGAAAGAATCAATAAAGTGAAACAAAATTTTCCAAAATGTATACCAACCTCTTGTCTGCGCTCTTTGGTGGGAAACAATTCGCTATCCCCATCAGAAAAAGATCCAGATTCATCACTGGAGTTAGTGTCATATGACTTCTCGCACTTGATCTTTGGTGTCCCCGAAGTGCTATTCTCCCGGTGTTCGAGCGCCAGGCATCGCGCCATGGTGGAACAAGGAGAGGTAGAGAGCTCAAACTGGGGCAGGCTGGAAGGAGATCCTCCACTGCCATCCTCAGCGTAGGAGTAGGAAGAGCAAGAGCTGGAGGTTCTGATGTGAATGTCGGCACGAGACGAGCGTGGACACATTTTAATGGGCACCGGACAGCTGCTCTTTAGGTGCCGGCGGTAGGGCAATGGGGGCTCTTGGGAGACAGAAGTAGGGGACAGTGTTTGGGAGCAGGGGAATGACTGGCTGGAACCTGCCCATAGGTCTTCCGGGGTTTCCTGTCCCAAACAGCTCTCACCAGGATAAGAGTGCGCAGGTGCCACCAGATGGTGGGAGGTCCGAGAGGAAAAGATGACGCTTTTTCGGTCGTTCTCCTGTTCAGCTTCCTGCGAACAGGTCCTCTCAAAGGAAAATGACACCCCATCAGTTAATTTCTCAGCCTTCTTTGAAGACATCACATCAAGTCCCCCAACAAAAGCCTGATAATTCTTTTGGAAGTCACCCAGAGCAACTTGTTCTCGAAACGGAGAGGATTTGCTGGCGGGTTGCAGATCAGTGGTAAGATAATGATTAGAAGAAGTGACTTCCTTTTTAACAAGGGAGCGCAGGCACACTGGTGAACTTTTGCTCACAGGCAATTCAATTGGTGTTGAACTATGTTGCCTTCCCTCAAACTCCATTTCCATGTCCATCTCAAGCTCACAAACTTTACCCCTACCCAGACCATCCTGCTCCAACTCAGGCAATTCCAGTGGTACACAAACTTCTCCACTGGCTGGCTCTGCCTTCACCTTTGAAAGATCCAGGCTCCGGGCATTGCTGCTGGCGACGGTATCCTGCAAGGAGCCAAGAAAGCTTGAGGTACTGCTGTGTGAGGAGGTGGTTGAGTTGTGCTTAGCATGAACCTGGTGGTACTTTCTATATTTGGGATAACGAGGGAGGTCGAAGGTTGGAAGATGGAGGTTGTCTGTGACTTTCAATTGCTCAGTTTCAGGGTGCAGCCTTGATCCGAACAGTGGAGGTTTGGAGTCACTCGGTCGCACGTTTCCGTCCTCTAATGGGGGACTCTGGCTGGTGTGCATGCCATCAACCTCACCTTTCATCTGGGCTTGTAGGAAGTGGAAGCAGGAGTCTTCGAGGTTGTGCATCCCCAGGAATTCCGCACAGCACATGACATCCTGGATGTTGTCCCTGTTGAGTAGCAGCTTGGCTGTGTAAGCAAACTGCAACAGCGGGGCAAAGCCTTTCTCCGTAATCTATAGAAAGAAAACAATACAATATTTCATGGTCAGTAGTATTTTATTTAAAAGAGCCACTTTTGTAACATTTTATTTGTTCCCCAAAGACCACTTATATTGTTACTCAAGGTATCCTGCCATAATTTCCATTCATTCTTTACCCCCTTTATCATCCCGAGATTACAAAATGCTTTTTTGTACCTTTAAGACCTTAAAGTAATAGTGATGCAATGATATTTCTAATTAATGGCAGACATTTTTTAATACTACATTGTCCAAATAAATACATTTAAAAAGAACACAAAAATCTAAAATGATTTTAAATGCAAACATGTAATTAATCATACCATTCTAATGTATGAAAAATAGAAGTTTATTTTGAGATTACATTTAACTGTTATTAAATTATTATCGTTTTGAACAATTAAGTGAGTGTTGTATGATGACAATTGCAATGTAAAAAATAAGGAAATGAGCATACACAAATTATTTAATATCGATTGATATTTATAGACAACCACAGAAAAGTGAGAGGTCAGTAAGTTTTTGAAAGAAGTCTCTTATGGATGCATTTATTTGATGCTACATTTACACAATACTACATTTTGATGAAAAAAAAGTAGTATTGTGAAATATTATTACAATTTAAAATAAATGTTTTCTATTTTTTATTATTTCACCCCCTCTGTGGTCTGGCCTTGGCGTGGCGAGGGGGCTTGTGTGTTCCAGTGACCCTGGAGAGCGATACCGTCGGGAGCTAGCTCCTGGTAGGGTCACCCTAGGCGGGACGACCTCCAGGGTAGGTTCCAGACAAACAAAGACCCCAGCATGTCGGTATGCTGTGAGGTGGCAGCCCCACCAACCGACTATCCTGCGGAGGGCTAACAACCCACCCAGGAGAAATTCTTTTGTTACGAAACCGATCAGAGATAGTAGCCGGACCGCCCAACACGATAACGGACCCCAGCCTGCCCCAGACCAACGAGTACGGATCAACCTTCGTCGCAGGACCCGAGTCGCCACTTGGAATGTCCAGACACTCCTCCGCCCTGGAGCTGCTACCCTGCTGTCCCGTGAGCTCTGCCGTTATAACATCTCCTTGGCAGGGCTCTGCGAAGTTCGATGGCACAGCAATGGCGAAACAACAGCAGGCGACCATTGCTATATCTGGAGTGGCCCCGAGAGACGGACAGGCCTCTATGGCGTGGCACTTGCCATCCCAAAGGCCCTTCGCAAGTCCCTTATCCACTGGACACCTCTGAGCGACAGACTACTGTCTGCCCGCTTTCTTCATCAACACGGCAAGATGACAGTAATCGTTGCTTATGCCCCTACCGATGTTGCTGATGAGGAAGTAAAGGACGCCTTCTTCGACCAACTCCATCAGGCTGTTGCCCAAGCCCCACCACATGACATTACCATCATCCTCACCGATGCCAACTCCACTCTGTCTAGCAGTGATCGACTCACAGGCTCACCTGTCGGCACAACCTTTGCTGACAGGTCTACAAACGACAATGGTAGCCGCCTTCTCCTTCTCTGCCGCCACAACAACCTCTGTGTTGCCCATACTTGGTTTCCTCGGAAGAAAATCCACCACTGGACATGGTACAGCCCAGATGGCAGAACTAGGAAAGCGCTGGACCATATCCTTATCTCACGACGCTGGATGCCGTTTGTCACCAACTGCCGTGTGTACAGGGGAGCAGAACTAGGCAATACAGACCATCGATTGCTGGTGGCCCAGCTTAAGTTAAAGCTGCGAGCCAACAAGCACGCCAAGACTCAGCCTCACCTGGACTCCTCCCAACTCAGTAATCCAAACATCGCCACAGACTTCAACCGTGCCACCCGCCGCATCTTTGACAATCTGGCTACCGACAAGGTGAAAGACTGGCAGATCTTTAAAGAAAGTATAATCCAGTCAGCACACAATGTCCTCGGATGCATTCGATCTTCCCCGAAAAAGCCCTGGATATCGGAGAGAACATTCACAATTATTGACCGGCGGCGTGAGGCCCGACTCCGAGGTGATATGACTGAGTATCGACGACTGAACCGCCAGCGCAATGTGGCTATAGCTGAGGATAGAGAGAAGTTCTGGCAAGCAAAAGCTAATCACCTAGAGTCTGCAGCCAATAACAACAATTTGAGCCGTGTCTTCAGTCTGTTGCACCAAGCTCGTAATGGCCCACGCATAAAGTCAGCCCAGGTGAAAGATTCCGATGGCAATCTTATAACCACTGAAGAAAACTGCCTCAAACGCTGGAAAGAGCACTTCAGTCTTCTTCTGCATCACGGCACCCCCCCTATTGGTACCGCCATCTTACCGCCCGCTAATGCTGCAGCCCTTAGTACTGTCTGCAATACTGACCGTATCACACCTGAGGAAGTCAGAGCCGCTTTGAAAAAAGTTAACAACAAAAAAGCCCCCGGCATCTGTGGAATAACTGCTGAGATGCTAAAATCCGGGGGTGAAACCATCGTCGAGTGGCTCACCCACATTTTCAATGAGGTGTGGGACACAGAGAGGCTCCCCAGCGACTGGACCAGAGGAGTCATCCTGCCCTTCTGGAAACGCAAAGGTGACAGGTTAGTCTGCGGCAATTACAGAGGCATTACCCTTCTTTCCATCCCCGGCAAGCTCTTTACCAGGATCTTGCTCACTCGTGCTCTCCCAGCCATCAGAAGCAGCCGCCGTCCCCAGCAGGCTGGCTTCATGCCTCAGCGCTCCACAACAGATCAAATCTCCGCAATTCGCTTGCTTATAGAGAAGACCTATGAATTCCGTAAAGATCGCCATCTTTACATTGGGTTCGTAGACTTGAAGGCTGCCTTTGACACTGTCTGCCACTCTTCACTGTGGAGTATCCTACATGCTCTTGGAGCACCACCCAAGATTGTTGCCCTGCTTAAGCTGCTTTATAGTAACACACAGAGCTGTGTCCGCATTAATGGCAGAGACTCAGACTGGTTTTCCATCTCTAGCGGCGTTCGACAGGGCTGTGTGGCTGCCCCTGACCTTTTCAACTGCATCATTGACCATCTGATGTCCAGGGTTTGTGAACGGGCCCCCGGAGTGACCCTAGGCAGCTACCATCTGACTGACCTGGAGTACGCTGACGATACCATCCTGCTCAGCACGTCCCTCAGCCAGCTGAGAGATACTCTGGGCATATACAGTGAGGAGGCTGAGAAGCTTGGCCTCCAGGTGAGCTGGATAAAAACCAAGTACATGTACATCGGTGATGGACCGCATCCAATCCCCCTGCGGTTTGGCAATGATATTGTAGAACCTGTCAGCAATTTTGTATATCTTGGATCCCTAGTGACAAACAAAGGGGACCTAAAACCAGAGATTACCCGCAGAAGAGCCCTGGCTGCGTCAGCCCTGCAGTCTCTCTGGAAACCACTCTGGCGGCACCAAACCATCTCCCGCAGGACGAAGCTCCGGATTTATAACTTAGCAGTACTCTCCATCCTGCTCTATGGCTCTGAGACCTGGCCCTTAAATAAGACACTGGCCGCAAGACTCGATGGCTTTGATAGCAGGGCCCTCAGGACCATAGAAAACATCAGGTGGCCCCAGCGGGTTTCCAATCAAGTGCTTAGAGCCCGCACGCGCCAGCCCAGAGCATCTTGTCTGGCTGCGCAACGCCGTACCCGCTGGCTCGGCCACGTCCTCCGTCTCCCTCTTGACCATCCGACAAGAGCCATTCTCCAGTTTGATCCGAGAGCTGCAGGCTGGAGACGACCACGAGGTAAGCCTCGCACCCGATGGCTTGACGTCCTTGCGGGTGACCTCCAACAACACGGAGTCGCTATGGAGGATGCAGAGCAGCTGGCACAAGATCGCCGGCACTGGAAAGAACTGGTTCATCTGGTCGGCTCAACGCACAGGGACGGGATGTGAACCCATACCCAATGCAGGAGCTTAATAATAATAATAATAATAATAATAATAATAATAATTTTTTTATTGAAATTTAATTCATTCCTGTGTAACTTTTCAATATAAATAATAATAAAAAAAAAAAATCGTACTGACCCCAAACTTTTGAACGGTAAAATATAAATAATAATAATTTAAAAAAAAAAAATGCAACTGAAACCTGCATTTCAAAAAGTGTAAAGAAGGAAACCCCTTTTATGAACTCCATGATATCTTCTTTAGAAAAGGCTACACAGTCAGAAGACATGTTTTGACCACAAATGTCCAAAAATGCTTATCCTCAAATCAAATTTTAAAAATCGCAACTGTGTGTGAGCTTTCTATCAAGGTCTTTCAAGCTTTATGTCATGTAATAAAATGAAGTGAACCGCATAGTGTCAGGAACCAAAATAAATCGCCCTTCTCATCACATTCAATCACACCATCGCTCTCGCAGGTATCCACGAATGCTCAGGGCAGCGATACTACATCAAGAACATCATCTTTAAAATAGAAAGTCATCCTGCTGAAAATACAGCTCCCCCAGACATTCAGTCAGTCCTCCCAGAGCTGCTAATAAATAGAAAAGCTTGGGGGGGAAAATGCTGAGCATTCTGTAGATCTATTTTCAGCTGGCATCAGCAGCTGCCGCCTGCAGAAGCATGTCTTTATGGAAGCCAAGCGCCATATGAGACTCCTTTAATGTTATAACCAGCAATCCTAATGAGGGCAGCAGGCAGGGACGCATGCACACACACACAAAGCAGAAAGGAAAGACTCCACACTATAAAGCAAGAGAGGAGCAGCTCAGCATGACTCTGAGGAGGAGAGAATGAGATATGGAACCAATTTCCTGGTCATTACAGAATACAATTTGACATTAAGTGTTTTGAAGATGAACGATAATTAATATATAAGTAGAGCCAAATGGGGGGCCTTCTGACATATCTGGGATATTGTAATACAAGTTTGAGCTTTTGAAATCACAAAGCACCTAAAGTATACAACACAGAGAATCAACCATGAATAAATCATACTTCATCAAGCACTGTGAAGTTCTGAGAGGAAACTCTGCCAACACTCCTGGCAAACACAACAACATAAGCAATTATATCAACTCAAAGCTGCAGATGATGAAATGCGTTTTCTCCACTGACACATTCCTTCCAGACTACTCTTCTATCTATCAGTACAATAAAACACTTGTTGTCGAAACACAATATTCCTAAAAGAGAAATCTTTTGATTACAATTACAGGAAAAACAGTAATATTGTGAAATATTATTACATTTATTATTTTTGAAATGTAATTTAGGGCTGTGAAACAATTAATCGTGATTAATCGCATCCAAATGTCCAAAATAAAAGTTTGTGTTTACATAATATATGTGTGTGTAGTGTGTATAATTATTTTGTGTATATATATATATATATATATAAATACACACACATGCATGTATATATTTAAGAAAAATTTGCATGTACTGTATATACTTTATATATATTTACACATAATTAATATTATACATAAATATTTGATACATTAATAACACATTTTTCTTAAATACTGTATGCATATGTGTGTATTTATATACAAAATAATTATACACACTACACACACATATATTATGTAAACACAAACTTTTATTTTGGATGCGATTAATCGCAATTAATCGTTTCACAGCCCTAATGTAATTTAATCCTGTGATGCAAAGCTGAATTTTCAGCATTCATTACTCCAGTCTCTAGTATCAAATTATCCTTCAGAAATAATTCTAATATGCTGATTTGGTGTTCATAAGAATATAATTCCAAAGAATATTACTAACCATGTTGCACTGCTTAATATTCTTGTGGCATTATTTTCTTTGATGAAAAGAAAGTTCATAATAATAGCATTTTTGTAACATTATAAATGTCTTTACTGGCTTTTCTTTTTATCTATTTAACGTGTCCTTGCTGGATGAAAGTATTCATTTCTTTCAAAAAACAGAAAATGTGAGGTTTGTGAGGTTTTCAGCGCAGATCATTTAGGTGTATCCTTGCCGGCTGTTAATGTATTCTGATTTGTACCTCTGCCAAATGAGGACACTCACCTTCTGTGGCAGGTTGATGACCGGCTCATGTTCCGTCTGGCCCCTGAGCAGCAGGGAGAAATACTGGCTACAAGCTGCCAGCACTGCCTTGTGGGCACGGATCTCCCTCCCCTCCACCAGTACTGTCACATCACACAGGACGTCCTGCTTCCGCTGTTCATTCAGGCACAGGAGGATGTTGGCACAATGCACCGTCGACTCATACACATACATGGGAGCGTCAGGCTTCTCCGTAGACATTCCTTGCTCAGACCCTGGGGACGAAAGCAAATAAACAAAACGGGTTACGTGACTGCTTTGCATTTTGAAACGTGGTTTCATTAATTATGGATTGCAAGTTTGACGAAAGAAAATAATTATCACAATTACTGATGCAAGCGCACAGATATGTCTCAATTCAAGCTGATGACCAATTAGCAGCATGCGTCAGCTTCAAAAGCGGACTGATAATTAGAACTTTGAGAAGTGATTTCCCAAAGTAACAAGACAGCAAATCGAGTTTCAAAGAGGCCGTAGTTGCACATAAATAGCAAATGTTTAAACAAGTGCAATGGTCTGAAAAATAATGACAGAATGTGTAAAAAAAGCACACTGAAGCTCATAAATAATGATAGATGATTACTTTACAGGCCAGTTGCTACATTTAGAAAGCCAAAAATGTGTTGCCGACTGTAAAAAATGTAAGTGTATAATAGGGTATATGGGCAGCCATCTTAAGGGAGTGTAATGATGGCTCTGTATGGCCATATAATGGCAAAAGCATATGAGCCAATTTCAAGTTGCAATAGTGGTAGCCTCTGTTGCACTATTCGTGCTGGTTCCATTTTTAAGATGATAACAATGCCAATGCTTAAAAAAAAAAGAAACAAGTTTAATTCACACCAACTTGAAGTCAAATGTCTCCTGCATATGGCCCCCCAAAATAATTAGATCCAAAAATCATTAAGTGAAATTCATTTATGGGAAATTTTTAAGAGTAGAAATTTTATGTATCAACATAAAAGTCTTTACTGACACTTTTTCTAAACAAGTGTGTATTTCTTTTAAAACCAATAACAAAGAAATCTTACGGTCCCAAAACTTTTAAATGGTAATATATATATATATATATATATATATATATATATATATATATATATATATACAGTATATACATATATACAGTATATACATATATATATACATACAGTACATATATAAAATACTTCAAGTATTATTTAATAGGATCAACTTTCTGATGATGGTTAGAAACCCCAAATACAACATCTTTGTTACATTAAAATTGCATGTAAAGAATGTTACACAAGTTGCATATGTTAAACTAATCCAAAGAATAAACTTAATCCAAAGAATAAAAAAGAGGATTATATTGTACTATTTATTTTATTTTCTAAGTGAAAGCTAATCTATAAGTAAGATAAAACACTATAAAACAAATATTGGTGGTTTAGCCAAACTTAAAACAAGTAACCTGGTTTCCATCAAATTTGAAATAAAAAAGTAGTTAGTAGTACAATGGAGATTGGTTTAATCAACAGAAACTTAAAATTTTGTTATCTGAGCCACATAAATTATCTATGTTGGTTTGACAAAAGAAAAAAATGTTTGTTTTTTTAGTGTACGAGAATTAACAACAATATTTGATAAGCAGTCATGTCATAAGTGAGAATATTTACAGCCCGCTTGATAATAATGCAAAAAAAAAAAAAAAAAAAAAAACATTGAGGATGATAGAACACCTGATTTATTTAGTGATTCTACAAAACTAGATTTGGTTTCTCTCTGTTATTCTACTTTATTCAGTTCATTCCTGGTATTGAAAAGTTGAAAGGAAGAACTAGAAAGGGGGATCTTCCAATTATTTTGAAGCAGTGAAGATGAGCTGTTGAATAGCACTTGCTCACTCTAACAGCATATTTCACAGCATATTTCTGCATCTTGGCTTTGGTAATCTCAACATCAGCTTGTGAATCATTCACACATTTCCAAATAAATCACATACAGAGAAAAATGTCTGATAGCAACTGTCATTCGCTTGCTCTGCCAACACTAATGCGATATCAACACCATGTCAATTCATTCAGAGATGCCACTCTGAAAAGGAAAAATACCATGCAAATAAACACAGGGAATTACAGCATGTTTCATCATCGACATTGATGCATGACTATGTCAGACAACCATGACCATAATGCAGATGAGCGTCTTCACAATGGAGTTCAAAGTATGGTGCATTGTTATTGCTGCACAAACAGTACAATGAAATATGTTATCAAAAGACAAATTACTCTTAGAAAAATGATCCTCTGTAAACTCATTCAAGTGCAAAACTAGGCGTAACGGTCGCTGTGGAAACAGACCAGTGTGGTGGTCTCCCTAATTTACGAAGCCCCCAATTCCCCGACCTAGATCCACTGCCAAAACCAAAATGGCTTTATATTATGGAGTAATAATTTCTTTGATGGATAATACTGTCATGAGCATGTACACTAGGAAGGAACAAACAGTAATTAGATAAAATGTATATAAAATCGGGAGTGCGGTAGCACTGAATTGTAATTGCAACACAAATTTAATGTACATTTACTCATTTTTAGCATTTAGTCATTTATTTGCAATAAACACTTTAAGTGGGCTATTAAAAAAGTGTTAGTCTTATGTTAAATTATGTTTACAGTGTGATATCATATTGTGTGTGAAAGAATTTGTCCACACCACTTCTGAGCACAAGTCAACTGTAAGACTTGTAAGCTAGGCACTGGGCAGGTTTTTTGTGTACATTTCTATTTCTTGTTGCTGTGCAGGCTCTTTTATTGTATATGACAGTGTAAACAGCTCAATAACCCTTTTATTTAAAGGCTTAGTTTATGTCCCTTAGATGGGTCCTTTTGATTAAGATTGAATCAATACTGTCAATAATATTTAAATAGTGCTTTTCTGGGTACTCAAAGCTCTTTACATATACAACTTTCGCCAGTAAAGGTAATAGGCGTGAACAACGTGCACTACACAGTTTAGCTAATCACAACACACCGGCCCAAACTAACCAATCTGTGCCCATTGCCTGTTTCCGAGAGAGTGGTTTCATAGACTCAGGATGTAAACCGGTCGTTCAAATACTTTTTAAAAAAGAAAAACACACAAATACATGTTATATTGCACCCCATAAACACAATCATGCAAAGAAAAAAAGCAGTAAACCCCCCCTTTAAATGAGTGTTCTCACCGATGCACTTGTGTATTGCAGAGTTTTGGCGAGTTTTATATACTTGATATTGTTTCTTAATCAAATGTGGTGTTTTTAGTCCGGTTAAGCAAATGCATTCAAATAATCAGTCCAAAACAGCACTAATTTATTTAGTCAGGTATGGCAGAGAAAACAGTGAATTGCTGTCCAGTTTTCAGTGAATTATTCATTCCAGAGAGTGTTTAGCTTTAAAACACGAGCTCTGTGATATTCTTTACAATGTACAAATTCAGGCCAATGTTTTTTTTTTCTTCTATTATGTGTATGTTGCTGTGTTTAGTAATTCTGAATAGATCCATGTACAGTAGTACTACTAGGCATATAATGCAGTCAGGTCAACGCGGTAGGTTTAGGATCTCCATGTGGTCCTGTGTACAGCATTCATTTGTTTTAGTGTTTCTAATTTAAACTCAACAAAAATTAAAATAAGTCCATTAGATCCCACATGTAAAAACATTAAATAATTGATTACAAAGCACAAACACGGTGACCCCATTTTCCAGAGAATCACCAAGACATTAATTAAAAAGTACATATAATTCAAGGCCTCCTACTTCAGGGGGTAATATGGCCGTTATGACCACCAAGAGAAGCCTGGCCTAATTTCATCCTGACCTGATTACAGCAGCTCTTCTTTCATTTCCAACCATCGAAGAGCTTTCTGAGAATAATAAGAGTGCTGTCTTGTAAAAATAAAAGCTTACGAGATGGTGAGATAGTTTACCATGCGGAAAAAAGAGAAACTATCAGTCAACAACTTTAATATGATTAAATGTTCTTTAGAAACATGTTTCCAAAGCAAGTTATTGTACAACTTGACCAATGAATTTCCATGACAGAGATTGGATAGGATTCTCTACGGCTCTCGAGCTGAGAAAAGATTGATGAATAATTGAGCATATACTCGTAAAATGTATAGGCTAACCGCTATGGTTTCTAGCAAAAGCAGCGATGAAGTGCAGCCTGCTGGCTGATGCTTTTAAACCTGCAGGTCGGTATAGAAAACCACACAGGACCAAGCAGAATGACACAACACACCTCAGATAACAGCTCATCTTGGGGGGGATTTTCCAGTAGGAGATTCAACAATGACATCATTAGTTTCAACAATGAACTATTGTGCTCAAAATAAGGTTAGCCGTCTCTCTTTCAGAAGGTCACTGTCATATTCGCAAGCCTGTATAAAGGACGTGAACAAATGGTGTTTGAAAGAATGGATCTCATTGAAAAAAAAAAATTAAATGCAAGCTATTTTTTGGTACTCTGTGGGAAATGTCCCACACATCTACCCTGCTTCAGGTCCTAATGCAAGTTGGACACAAAATACCAATAAAATGTCCTTATAGTCAACATGGAGTAAATACACTTGTGCCAGTCCCTGTAGGCCTATTTAAATAAATTACAGTTATGCAAAATAGTTGTTTATTGAAAGGCAAAGATGTGTTAGCTAAGCAGCTGAAATACCACTCCTCAAATCTATCAGGGCATTCCTAAGCAGGGTTTCCAGTGCAAAGATAGGGGGTGACTCAATGAGTATTTTGAGCACTGGTTGCTGAAACAGAGCTTGAATGAATCATGATTTCTCAGACTGAAGTGAGAAGTGACTCATAATGCTCTTTAATATGGGCAGAGGCAACCGTGACACAAAAAACACAGCAAGCAAACTATAAATATACGCAGAAGCTCACAGTGAGGTGCATAAACATAATTCAGAACAAGCAGTACATTATACAATTAGCAGATGGTCATGAGCTAGGTATTAAACCATTATTTTAAACTAAATTAATAAGTACGTGCATTACAATAAATGTACCATAAATAAGGGCTGTTGGCCATAGATAAACTGCTAACAGTTTTCAATGGCTTCAAATGTGATTTATTCAATTAAAACAGAGTCAGAACTAATTATTTAGAAAGAGATATATCAATATATTTAAGAACTTAGTCATCAATATTCAATATCAATTAACATGCAGGCAAAGTTTATTGAAAATGTCTAAATGCAAT